CTATGAAGGGTTCCCCACATCCCAGGGGTCACTTTGATCTCATGCTGTAAGGGGAGGGGGGATTTGACCAGACTGTAAACCTAATGCCTTAAACCTGCCAGAGAGCCAAAGGCAGTGTTCCAGGCCCCTTCCCCCAAGACCCCTGCAGAGCACACTGCAGTAACAAAATCTCAGGCCACAGTGTCGCCAGCCTACTGAGCCACTTTACTCCCAAAAACTTCCCCTAGAGAAGCCTCCTCGTGCTGAGACCCTACGCAATCACCAGAGGCCATGCAAAGGAAGGAGGTAGGGACTCTTAGACACTTYAGAGCCAGGATCTGGGTCTAGAAAGAGGATGGGGGAAGACTGGGAAGGCACAGGACAAGGGAATGTAGGGATTGGAGAGGAGGAAATTATGGGCTCGGGAGAGCTGCAAGATGCTACCTCCCGTTACCTGTCCCCCAAGAAGGCTTCTTTCGGCTCCAAGAGGGTGGTGCCCCGGSCCGGGCCCACTTCTCGGGCATCTCCTTGGGGACCGTCATGATCCGGGTTTGAGTGGGGAGAGCGTACTGTCAGTTCTTGGCCTCAGCGGCGCCTACGGGGCGGCCCCCCGGGGAGGCGCAAGTGCCGCTGCCGCTTAGAAGTGAGCCCCGGCCCACCGGCGAGCATGCCACCCGCAAGCCAGGCCATCCTCACGGGCACCGGCGCGCCGGCCCGGCAACTCCGTGAGCTCCGCTGCGCCGCCCCCGAAGCCCCCAGCGAAGGACTGCACGCGCTGAGTGGCCCCGGATGCGGTGCGCACGCCCCGGGCTCCGCCCCCTCCCGCTCCCCGCCCCCTCCCGCTCCGGGACTGCAGGGGCAGCAGCCTGCCAGCTCGCCGCGTAGGCGACAGCCAGCCGGAGCGCGCCCCGCCTCCGCTCTCCCCGCCCCGCACCCGGCCAGGGCCGATGTGGGTGAGCGGGCTGCCGCGGTTGTCGGGGGCAACCGTTTCATTCCCTCCCTACCCGAAGGACAAGGAAGAGGACCCTGTGGGGAAGAGACAGGGGCTTCCCAGGCCAGAAAGTAGCAGCTGCAGGTGCCCCGAGAAAAGAGAGCAGGTGTTTCGGGGCGGGGGGGGGGAGGGGGACTGGTACTCAGCACTATCCCAGCAGAGAACCCAGCTCAAGCATCAAACGAAAAAATTGTGTTTCCTAGGCTCTTCCCAGGATGCGTAGGGATCTTAATCTCCCCTTTCCCAGATCCATACCAGCTGTCCCTCTTCTCCTGTCTCCCTGAGCCATAATAACACTCACTCTTGTCTAAATTCCCAGGGATTCCCACTTCTTGCCTTTCTTACCTGGGGGGCGCTTTTTTGCACACAGTGCCATCTCACCCAGCAAGGTCCCAGCAATCCCATGGGAGACCCTGTAGGAAGGTGATACATGAGTGTGGTCAGGAAGCTGAGGGTAACCCTTTATTCCCCTCATTAGACCCTTGCTGAAGGTTCTCTTCTCCAGCACTGATCCTGACCTCTCCATCCCTCCCCACCAACACTCTCTTCTTTCTGCCCTGTCCAGTACCTGAGAAAAGGGGCCATCCCTTCTGCTTTGGATAACATGGAAGGAGGGAAGAACTGAGAGTTTACAGAAGTCAAGGCCTGCAGGAAAGGGGTCTAGGAGAATAGGCAAGGAATTGGTAAGAAGGGCACAGCTGCGCGTGCCTGTAATCCCAGCAGCTCAGGAGGCTGAGGCAGGATGATCAGGAGTTCAAAGCTAGCCTCAGAAATTTAGGGAGGCCCTGAGCAACTCAGCAAGACCCTGTCTCTAAATAAAATATTAAAAAGGGCTTGGAGGCTGGGGTTGTAGCTCAGTGGTAGAGCGCTTACCTAGCAATGTGTGAGGCACTGGGTTCAATCCTCAGCATACTTAAAAAATGGGTAAAATAAAGGTATTGTGTCCATCTTCTTTAAAAAAAATAATAATAATTTCAAGCTACTGGATTCCCTTTCTTAAAAAGGGGGAGCGAGGCCTGGGGATGTGGCTCAGTGGTTAAATGCCCCTGGGTTAATCCAGGTACTAAAAAAAAAAAAAAAAAAAAAGAGCACAGCTTTCAAGGTACCATAGATGCTTCATGTGCTCCCCTGCCGACAGACAATGTGTGCCTATATTCCTGATGACAGGTGTAGTGCCTGTATTCCTGGTGACAGTGTGTGGTGACTGTATTCCTGGTGGCAATGAGTTGTTCATGTACTAGAAAGCAGAATGTCCCCCAAAAGGGTGGGGTGGAGGGAACATAGCCAGGAAGCACCTGGCAGGACATTAGGAAATAGGGTGGGCAGGCTCCACCCTTCTCAAAATGCTCATCATTCCCCCAGCTCACCCCATTACTGGGGTTTCCATTATCACCTCCTCCACATTGAGTTCACATTAGAAGCATGGCCTTCACTTCCTGCACAGACAGTCCCCAAACCGCTTCCTCTCAATCTGGGTCAGCCACCCTTCTGGGCCAGCAGAGGGGTCTTCCTATCCTGTCAGAGAGTCACCCCTGCTCTCTCCCACTCTGTGCCTAGTCCAATCAGCCTGAGGCTCAGTGCAGGCCAAGGAGCATCAGTCACACAAGCCTCTGCTTCCTTCCACCTTCCTGTGTCCTTTCTTTTTCCTAAAAAGGCATAAGGCCTGGCCTACAAGACAGGCTCACAGAGCCTCAACCCTATTCTCCAGCCTGGTCCAAAAAAAGCTGCCAGTCAGTAACCTCCTCTTTTTTTGTCTGGGTGGAAGGGTTAGCCTTCCACCTCCTCTTTGGTTCCCCTGCCTGCAGCCTATGGGCACACCCACCAGCCTGTCAGCCCCAAGAGATACTAATTGCCTGTCTGCCCAACCTCTATAATTACAGACTCTGGCCACAGCTCAGGCACCCACACCAATTCTCCCTTCACTAGCACACACTCCCTGACCCCAGACCAGGCAATACCAAGAGCAGAAGTCCTTTTCATCCCTGATCCTCCCCAACTGCAGCAGGCAAGGGTGCCTGGCTCAGGAAGAAAAACTTCATCCACATTTTAGAGATGCCAAGTCCTCCTCTAGGGCCCCCAGCCAGGGTCTCCACCCAGTCTAGAGTATGAGTCATGAAGGGTGGGGTATGCAGGGAGAGGTTAAAGAGGACACATGGTGGGCATCAGAGGTTCAGTAGCCAGCGAGGACCCTGGGGAAGGGAGTGATCAAGAAACACTGCCAGTCCAAAGATCTGGGTCTGCAGCCTATGAAAGAGTTAATGAAGGAGCTGGGCAGCCAGGAGTCAGGAGTCTGGACTTGGACCAGGAAAGTTGTTTTACCTCTAATACCCTGGGGAGAGAAAAGCAGACTTGGCCCCAGATCCCATCCCCTCTGGGGGCAGTCATAGGAAGGGAGAGGGAGGGAGATGGCTGGCAACAGGGACCCCTTCTCACTTCTCCTTCCCAGTCTCACACAGCCTCGGTTGTCTGAACTGGTCAGGCCCATCAGCCACGTCGCCCTGCCCCGTCACCCTGCCCCAGCCCCAGCCCCAGCCCCCTCTGCAGCCACATCTGGGATAAAAATAGCCAACCCTAGGAAAGAGGCAATGCTCCATGGGGGGAAAACCGCTCCTCCTCTAGGTCTGGCTTCTGCTGCCTTCCAACCAGGACTCCTTTTGGAGGAGGCTGGTGGGTCAGGAAAACAGGAAGATCTAGAATCCAAGACCCCCAGCTCTCTTGCATCACCACCGCCCTGGGCCACCTTCCCTCGCCCAGGGCAGTAACAAAGGACTCAAGCATAGCTACCACCCCTCTGGCACCCAGACCTCCACCTTCCAGAGGCAAAACCCAGCAGAGTCCGAGCTCCCTTCCCTAAGCCCGGTCGGTCACTCTTCTCACCCCAACTCCCCAGCGGCCCTCCCTCTCGGGCCGGCCTTTCCTCGGCACTCTGCGCCCCTTCCCTGCTCTCCACGCGCCACCTGGGCACCCCATCCTCCCAGCCTGCGGACAGCCTGGGGTCTCCCCACCCTGGGCAGCCGACACCCCTCTTCTCCACCCTGCCGCTCGCCCTGCGGGTCTCCCCGCAGCTCCGCACTCCGGGCGCCCGCCCTCCCGGCTCCAGACTCCGGCTCCCCAAACCCCTCCCGCCCCCCGGCCGCCGCCGCATCTCCCCCTGCCCTCCGCCCCGCGCTCGGGGTGCCCCGGCTCGCCCCGCCTCGCCTCACCTCAGCGCCCGGCGCCCGGCGCCCGCCCCGGCGGCCCCATCCTGCCCAGGCCGGGGGCTGGGGCGGGGGCGCTCGGCTCAGCTCCCCGCGGGCGCCCGCCCCCCAGCTGCGGCCCAGCTCCCCCCGGGCCTCGGCCCGCTACTTTGTGTCAGTTTCGGCCACCGCGGGGCGGAAGTGACGGCGGTGGCGGTGCAGGGCGGGGGGCGGGAGGGGGTTTTGGGGAGGGCGGAGGGCAGGGAAGTGAGCGCCGCCATCTTTGTGCGGGGCAGGGGGAGGGTCCTAGCCCGTCCCCCGAGGCCGCCGGCCGGTCCCCTCGCCCCTCGCCCGTCCCGCACCCTTCAACAAACGGACAACCCGGGAGGCCAGGTAGCGGAGGGTTTTCCTTTTAATTCGTCAGAAAGCGAATGAGAAATGCTGCCTTCTTTGCAAAAAGCGCATCTTCGGCCCGGAGGGACCAGAGCGCGGGCGAAGCGGCGAGCTCGGATCCTCCTCGCCGCCAGCTTCCCCGTGGCCCCGCCTCAGGCTCCTCGCCCCCTCTCCTCGCCCGGCTCCGCCCGTGGCACTTCGCTCTCCGTGAACCACACAGCCTCGGGTTAGCCGGAGAGGTCGTGCCTCGTCTCTCGCCTCTCTCTCCCTGCCTACCAGGCGAGGGACGGCCCGTGCTCCGCCGCCCCACCACGCCCCCTGGATGGAGCGGCTTCCCCGCSGCTAAGGACCGTCCGCGAAGCGCCCCTGTGGGGCAAAGGCGCGCGACGCTGGGCTTACAAGAGCTGGCAGTCAGGCAGAGGGGACCCAGGTTTGGAGGCAAGTTCCCCGCCAGGCCCCGACTAGAGGAAAGTTCCCCCGTCGGCCCTCCACCCCGCAGACTCCCGCTGCCCTCCCAAGCCAGCGTCCAGGGTGGACACCCCCTCGTGGCTACTTTTAGCAACTGCGTTCCTAGAGGCCCTGAGGCTGGGCATCTGAACCGAGGCAGGAGTTTCCAAGTCTGAGGCTTTTTTCTGACCTTGCTCTGAGTCTTCAGGGTGGTGCAGAGCCACCAGCAGCTGGTATGTGGCTGTGCCAAGGGTAGCCCCCACCAAAGGGGCCACCACAGGCACCCACCACCAGCCATTGCCAGCACTGCAAGAGAAGGACAAAAGAGACGCATCGGGAATGGTTCCCTTAGTCTCCCCTCTCCTCAAGGACTGAGCCAGTAACCAAGGGAGCTYCCTAAAGTAGTTCCTGGAGTGAAAGACACCAGGAAGAGAGAGGAGAGACCACCAGAAGAACTTAGTCCAGCCTCTAGCCTTAGGGAATTATCTGAATATACCCATTTGCTGATGAGGTAGATCACTAATGCCCAAAGAAATAATATGTCGTTGCCCAGAATACAACCTCTAAATCTTAACTGTTTCAGTGAAAGGACAGGGGAGAGTGAGGAACGCTGTCCTAAGAGGGCAAGAGAACTATTTAAGAGGAGAAAGCTAGGGACCCAGGGACAGAGCCATTAGCAGAGAGAGGTGAGTTAAGGACGGCATCCAGGGAAGATGTCTCCCACCTGAAGACTTCAGGGCCCCAGCCAGCCACGTAGGTGAAGAGCCGTGGACCCAGATCTCTGGCAGGGTTGAGTGGGAACCCACAGTTGACACCCATGGATAGTCCAATGACTAGGATCAGCAGCCCCACCACCACGGGCTCCAGACCCACAGGTACTCCTTTGTTGCGTCCGTCCATGATGGCCAAGAGCCCCACAATCAGGATCCCAGTGCCCAAAACCTTCAGACAGAGGGGTCCTAGTCATCAGTTGCCAGGTGCTCCATTTGCCCTCACCCAAACACTCCAAACTATGACCCCCATGTCACCTGGCTTTGTTCAACACAGGCAGCTGGGGGCTGGTGGGGTACCAAAGTAGAACTAGCTCCATATTCCACCCAGAACAATTAGCTGGGGTCCCAAGTGAAGGGAAAAGGTTAAACTTTTCCAGGTCTGCTCCTCTCACCTACCTGATCCAGGAAGCCATTGTTCAGGGACAAATAAGGGGCAGGATAGGTGGCAAAGATGGAGGCAGTCTCCTTGGGGCCAGTCACTGTCAGGTTCCCCCCTGTATAGTTCTGCAGAGCATCTTTGGGAGAGAGGCAAACCCAGGGTTGCCATCTTTACTTACTGCAAACTGCCCTGAGGCACCCTTCATACAGGTGCTCCAACCGCCCCCTCTGTTACCATAGTAGAGAACATAGGTGGCTCCAGAGGCACAGAAGGCAGACAGCAGCTGCACGAAGCAGTAGATGGGGAGCATGGACCAGGGGAAGCGTCCCAGGAGGCACATGGCTAGGGAGAAGGCTGGGTTCAGGTGAGCTCCTTCAGGGACAGAGGAAGAAAATGAGCATCCAAACACTGTCACCAGCAACACAGCCACTCCTTCCTACAACTCTTAGGATAAATTGTATCATTTTCATCATATATGGGTGTGTGTGTGTGTGTGTGTGTGTGTGTGTATGTATGTGTATATATATTCATTTTCATCATATATGGGTGTGTGTGTGTGTGTGTGTATGTGTATGTATATATATATATATATATATATTTGTTTGATAAACAGAGATTGAACTCAGGGGCACTCTGCCACTGAGCCACTTCCCCAACCCTATTTTTTGTATTTTATTTAGAGATGGGGTCTCATTGCTTAGCGCCTCACTTTTGCTGAGGCTGGCTTTGAACTCATGATCTTCATGCTTCATCATATATCTTAAGGAATTAAGGCTCAAAGAGTTTAAGTGACTCCTCAAGGTCACACAATGAAGCCAAGATTTGAACCTGCATCTGTCTGCCCTTTCCACTTCAGCACACTGATGCAAGGTGTATCTGAGGGACAAGCAGCAAGGTCCTGAGTGGAGTTGACACCAGAGAGCTTCAGGTGTGAGGTGTCAGAGGACAGTACTTACCGTCATTGCCCTGCCATAGATTTCTGCTAAGGTAAGCCAACTGATCCATTAGTGTGAGGAAGGGGAATGGAGAGAGATAGGAAGGGGAGGGACTGGGTAAGGCTGAAGACATATCTCAGTCTAGGGCACTGGTCAAGCTTACGGAGATAATATTCATGAGTCACCAAAGGACCTACCTTTTTACCATTGCAGATACCCACTGCCACATATACGTCCCACCCCTGCCGATGACCAGACCCCACCCTGCTCACCTGAGACATTGCCTGCCACGTAGATGGCTATTGTAACTGCCAGAGAACCAGCCAGAAACATGGTGAAGAAGTTCCCTTTGGTTTCTCCACTGGTGACAGCCTGGGCCACAGCCCCCTGAGTGAGGAGCTGACAGGGAGAGGAAAGGTGAGGAAAAGGAAGTCCAGGAGACCAACAGGAGAGAGATTGGGAGCAACCAAGGGACCAGCAAGGAAAGGAGAAAAGCAGAAACAGGAAAGAGATAAAGAAATGGGAGAAGTGGAGGAGAAGGAAAAGGGGAGGGAAGGTGAGAGATGATAAAGGATAGGCATCTAACAGAAGAAGCAAGCTGAGTATCCTTGACCGTGCCTATAGTTCTGATGACTTGGGAGGTTGAGGCAAGAGGATTGCAAGTTTGCAGCCAGCCTCAGCAACTTAGTGAGCCCTCAGAAAGTTATCAGAAACTCTGTAGATAAGCAGTACAGTGCCCTGGTTCAATCCCCAGTATAAAACAAACAAAAATTTAAAAATAAGGAGAAAGAGAAGAAGGAAGAGGAGAAACAAGAGGGAAAGAGAAGAGATGGAGAGTTGAAAGGAAGTATAGGAAGAGCCAGAAACATTGGTCTACCTCCCTCCTTTCTTCCCCCCAGTTACTGCCTACCATGAGCACAAATACACCCAGAAACTCTGCCAAGCACTGTCGGGCCAGGAGGCTGTGGATCCGAAAGTAGCCCCTCATTTTGGCCAGCAGCTGATCCGGGGCCATGGTGGTGTCTTGCTATCTCTGTCCACTGCTATTCTGTGTGCATAGGTACACAGCTCCTGCATGCCAGGGGAAAAGATAAGGAACAGACTTTAAAACCAATTATCTTGGGGCTGGAGTGGTGGCTCAGTGGTAGAGTGCACGCCTAGTATGCATGAGGCACTGGGTTCGATCCTTGGCACCACATAAAAACAAACTAATGTATCCACCTAAAACTAAAGATACATTAAATAAATAAATATTTAAAAAATAAATAAATAAAACCAATTATCTTGGCAGTTACTATCTACGCAGATGTGTAGAATAGAGCTCTCAGCTTTCTGTGCATATGTGGAAGCTGGAACGTGAGAGGCCTGTCTGTGAGCAGGCTGTGTGCACCTCTGCCTGGAGTTTGCCCAGGCTCGCTCGCTCTCTCTCTCTCTCTCTCTCTCTCTCTCTCCTGTCCTTTATCCCTATTTCTCATAGAACTAGCCTGAATTGCAAAAAGTACCCTGCTTCAGATACATGAATACTCTTGATCCTAAAGACAGCTGTGTACTATTGATCCCATTGACATATGAGTATACTGAGCCCTACAATTCCCCAGAATCACACAGTTAGTTAGTGATTGAGGGAATTCAAACTGGGTCTTCTAATTCTCCATCTGGTATTCTACAATGCCTCTCACCTGGAACATGAAGCCTTTCCCCAAACCATTTTGATATTTGAAGAACTCAAGGAGCATCCAGAGAGACTGGGCTGAAGACTACGGACTGTGAAAATGGATCCCACATGTTGAATGCTTGTACTTTCTTCATGCAGGGTCTCATGATTAGGGATCTATCTTTCTTTTCTTTCTTTCCTTTCTTTCTTTCCTCCTTCCTTCCTTCTTTCCTTCCTTCCTTTCTTTACCAGAGATTAAACCCAGGGGCACTTAACCACTGAGCCAAATTCCCAACACTTTTTTTTGGGGGGGTGGTGGTGGATACCACTGAGCCACATCCCCAGAAAGAGCCCTATTTTGTATTTTATTTAGGAATAGAGTCTCACTGAGTTGATTAGGGCCTCACTGAGTTGCTGAGGCTGACTTTGACTGTGTCCTCCTGCCTCAGCCTCCTGAGCTTCTGGGATTACAGGCAGCGTGTGCCACCGCACCGTGCTTGATTAGAAAATCTTTATCTGTGTGTCTTCTGCCACAGCTTAAGATGAGGAGTTCACACCCATGCTCAGCTCCACCTGCTCTTCTCCAGAGACATGCCACTCTTAACTCTGCATAACATGAAGCCAGATCCTTTTTCTTCATACCTCAAGACTCCTATTAGATTCACTCAACAGTTAATCAACTTCAGTCTCTAGAAAACATAGTTTCTACCCTCCTAGAGCTTATGTTCCAGAAGGTAGAAACAGATAATCTACAAATGTGTAAAATATTGTGTATAGTTTATGAAGTGTTTGAGGCCTGGGACCTTGATTTATGAAAACACTCGGGATCTGGCCCACTCTTGGGCACATCCATGTGCAATAATACTTCTCTGCTAGGTTTAACAAATACTATAGTGCTCCATCCAGATCTCTTTTCAGAGTCAACATACCCATTCCTTAGGTTCACCCCTTGGTTCACTCCTCCTTAGGAACAGTGATCCCCTGCTCCTGGAAAGTTACCCTATTGATGCTGAACTTAGCATGGACCCCCAATCAGCAGTGTGCCCTACACTTCAGATTCAAGCCATCCTCCTACCTCTCTACTTCTACTCCAGACAGAGGCCCAGGTGAGAAGGTCCCTATCTCTACTCCAGACAGAGGCCCAGGTGAGAAGGGTCTCTACCTCTACTCCAGACAGTGGCCCAGGTCAGAAGGATCCCTACCTCTATTCTAGACAGAGGCCCAGGTGAGAAGGTCCCTACCTCAATCCAGAAAGAGGCCCAGGTGAGAAGGTCCCTACCTCTAATCCAGACAGAGGCCCAGGTGAGAAGTTCCCTACCTCTATAACAGACAGAGGCCCAGGTGAGAAGGTCCCTACCTCTACTCCAGACAGAGGCCCAGGTGAGAAGGTCCCTACCTCTACTCCAGACAGAGACCCAGGTGAGAAGGGTCCCTACCTGTACTCCAGACAGTGGCCAAGGTGAGAAGGATCCTACCTCGACTCCAGACAGAGGCCCAGGT